CTCGCTCCTGCATTCCCCAGGGAGGTGCTGGAGCAGCTCTTGCTCTCTGCCCGGGTCACCTGCCAGCCAGGTTACCTCGCAGCACCCCGGGCTGGCTGGAAGTGGCAGCTCCTCCCACGGGAGATGCAGCAGGAGAGCTCTCAGTGACCGGATAGCAGGGTCTGCTGCTGCAGTGGCTGGAAACAAAGGAACTTTTGGGGGGTCTGGCCAATCTGTGCAAAGCCCCCAACATTTGTCTGCCTTTCTAAATAACCTGAGTTTGCTCTGCAGCTGGGACTGAGAGTACAAGGGGGATTTGCTGATCTCTTTAGGCTGTGCTCAAGGTCCTCACTGCCAGAGAAGCCCAGGCAGAGCACAGACCTCCAAACTGCAGATCCACCCCTGTTCACCCATGAGCAGCAGCAAAAAAAGGTTCATCTCCAGTTCCTTGCTCTTGGAGGAGGAGGTGGGATTTGGATGCAAACAACACATCCAAATCCAGCCCTGTTTGGGAGCATCCTCGGGGCTTGCTCCAGGGATTTGGAAGCAAGCTGAGCTTCAGATAACAAACCAGCAGTAAAAAAACAAGACATGAATCAGAGCAGTGAAGCAGAAATAAGGACATTTCCAATACCCAGGACATGCATGCCTGGGACAGAGTCATGGATGATCAGTGGAGGAATCAAATTTTAAGCCTGAGCAACAGCCTGTGTCTACAAGAAAAGCCAGGGATCCTCTGAGAAACAGAAAAGGCAGCAATGCTGGGTAAAAAAAACACGGAGAACTCCAGGGAAAGACCTCTTTTTTGGTTTTGTTGTTGTTGTCAGAATAAAAGCCCAAACCAGAACCTGTTTACAGACCTTGGTACTAGAAGAGAAGCCTCAGGGAATCAAGGAGAAGCTGAGATCCTGGGGAAGAGCAGGGGTAGAGCCTACCAGGGTTCCTGGAAAGGGAGGCTGGAGCTGTGCCATGAAACCCCAGCTAAACTCCTTGCCCCCTTTCAAGGGTGATGTAGAATTATCCAGGGATGCTGCTTTTATTAAAAAGAAAAAAAATTTCTTTGCTTCAATGCCAAAAAGTTACATAAAAATAATTCATGGCCAGATTAATGAGAGAGAGAGAAAGTCATTAGAAATCAAAAATGAGATAATTCTGCTGTAGACATGAGTGATGGTGAGAAATAAATTATATTTGGCTGACATTACTTAATTAGTTGGAAACATGGTGCTTTCTTAAATTTTCTTTGGTGAAGCTTTTAAGCTTTTGACACATAAATTCCCAGCTAAATAACCTCAATGTCAAAGCAGTTGCATCTTCTCTGCCAAGCCATTTTTTTGAGCACATCATTTTAAAGCTTCATTCCTTTGTTCAGGATTTTGGTTGCTACCAGGGCATGGCATGTAATCTCTGGCAAGGCATAGCCAGATTGTTCCAGAGGGCAGCTGGTGCCCACGTTCTCCCTCCCAGCTCCTGGTGGGATGGGGAAAAAGATCAAGGCAAGACAAATGGTGATGCTTTCAGTGCTGTGAGCAGCTTAAATAACCAGTAATGCTTAGCACTGCTCATCAAGCATCTCAGAGGACTTAATGAGCATGAATTAAGCCTCACAATTATAGCTGACTGTATAAATAGTTGCAAATAATATTCCTGGAGGACGATGCTCTTCGGTTCTTCAGCGAATTGTTCTGATGAGAGAGGCTGATTCTCACAATCCTGTTTGTAAGCCCTTTCTCAGAGGGAGGAGGAAAATGGAGAGGCAGAAGTCGAGATCTAAAAGTCCTGCAGGACTGAATCACGTTCTGCTGGAAAAAAAGGGAAAGCAACAGGAGGAAAAGCAGAGCAAACAGCTTAGTGAGAAGGGTTTAGAGGCAGCGAGAGCAGCAAACCTCCTGTGGTTGGTACCGGTTGCTCTCCCTGTGAATTAGGATGTAGGACTCTGAAATTATCTGGAATAGGTGTTGTAATTAAACTAATTTTAATCTGCAAAAGGGAAAATCCGAATCAACACAGAGATCTGAGGACTCACAGTGATCATGAGGTTTCATCCCAGCTGAAGGTACCAACACTAACATTTGACACAGGAATTCCTCCCCCTAATAAAGAAGCCATTAAACAAGGTGCTGAACAATTGCCTTGCATAGAAATGTTTGAATGATTTATAACTGATTAGTCACTGTTATTACTTTTTTAAATATATGCATTAGGAAAAGAGTTAACACCGTGGTTCTTAACCACAGAGAGAAATTGGAGGATAATAAAGTTTAGCTTTAAATAAAGCGATTAACGGACAGATCTGGCGGTTCAGTAACATTTTTGAAGGGGAGAAAAAAAATAACAAAAAGCCAGAAAGAGAAGCAAAGCACTTCCTACTGCAGTGCCCTGGTGGTTTGGGAGCTGGGGCTGCCAGCAGCACAACCTCCCAGCCATCTGTACACCAGGCCCAAGGAAAAATACATACATATAATAATGACGTGTTCCCAAAGCCAGGCCCCAGTAAAAACTTTCTCAAGCTTCAGGGTTGTTTTAAACGCATCATTTTGGCCTGAGGCCAAATAAACATGGTTCTACCTATAAAATCCACCAGCTTTTTCAATGGCTTTGTTAGCATGGACTCAACTCCAAGCATTACCAGCACTTTCTTGCCTTTGCAGATCCTACCCAGACCTTTCCCTGGTGCTTAAAGGCTCTCCAGCTCTGTCCTCCTTCATTTCAACATTCCCTCACCCCCCTCAGAGAGGTGTCCACAGCCCCCAGGTGCCACACAGGGATGCCCATGGCAGCAGCCTGTTCCCTTTCAGGTGAATTCCTCCCTGCTCCGTGTATTCTCATCCCTGGTATCTGTATCTTCACAAGGTGACACCTGTCTGGGACATTATCTCAGCACCAGAGCCCAGGCACCTTCCCTAGAAATGCCACAGTGACTTGCACAACCTGAAGACCTGGTTAACTTCTAGGTGAAAGGAATACCTGGAGAAAAATTAAATCCACCTTGGTTAACACCATATCAGCAGCTTCAGCTACTTCTTCACCAATCCATTCTCCTCCTTCAGGAGCTTCCTCCTTCTCTGGGGTCCCCAGGGCTATGAGAAGACCCCTCAGCCCATCTTCTCTGTATTCAGGACCCCACAAATCACACAGACCCCCTTAACCTTATCTTCTAGTTGCTCTTGCCAAAACAGCACCTGAGAATGGGACCCAGCCCAAACTGGGGATTGAATCCCTGGTATCCACAAGCCCAGGCACAGCTGGGAATAACCCACAGGGACATGCAGAGGGCAGGGCAGATGCTGGATCCCATAAGGACTTGGGACTAACCTTCCCTTTCCTCAGCAGCACGAGTCCCCCTGTGATGGAAAAGCCCCCCACTCTCCACCCCAGCACTGAGCAGCTCTTATAAAACACAGGAATGAGGGACAGGATTCCATGAGCTGCTGGGAAATCAGGCTGAGCTCAGATCCAGGCTGCCTACAGGACTGACATCTGTTGGGGCATTCACACCTGCTTTGGAACTAAATCAAGGTGAGGTGAGAATGAGGTAAGGAGCAGCTCGGCTCCATCAGGCTGAGGTCAGCTCCCAGCACATCCAGCTGTGCCGCTCCAGAGGTTCATGGGAATGGTAAAGTAAAATCTACATATTTTAAAAATGAGACACCTATAGAGTTTAAGCACTGCCAGAGTTAGGGAGCAGCTAATTACAATCCTGACCAGCTGGAGCTTTCCAGGCTGAACTCTTTCCTAAATTGCTAAATTAAATCTCGTGCTCCCTTTTGACTCCTTTTCTAGAAGGTCTCTGAAAAATGGACAGCCTAAAAGACTCCCATCGATTACTCTGCACTGGATGCAAGGCTTGTGGAAAAAAATGAAATTATTTTAATGTAATTATTTTAATTTTGAGTGGCAGTTACATAAATCTGTAATGCTGTTTAGGTGCTGCTTTGTATAGCACTAGCCTAGGACTCTTCGGAATTTAATGATAATGAAGTTTTATATCAGAAAGTGCTGAGTGTGTAGGGAGTGGCAACCAGTGACCCCAGAGGCTGGACCACAGAATCCCAGAATATGCTGAGTTAGAAGAGTCATCAGGATCATCCAGTCCAGCCCTGAGCCCTGCACAGGCCCATCCCCAAGAGTCACCCCCTGTGCCCCAGAGGATCAGCCAAACCCTCCTGGAGCTCTGGCAGCCTTGGGGCTGTGCCCACTGCCCTGGGGAGCCTGGGCAGTGCCCAACCAGCCTCTGGGGGAAGAACCTTTGGCTGAGATCTAACCTGAGCCTGCCCTGACACAGCTCCAGCCATTCCCTGGCTGCTGTCCCTGGTCCCCCCAGAGCAGAGCTCAGTCCCTGCCCCTCCTCTGCCCCTCCTGAGGGAGTTGTAGCTGCAATGAGGTCTCCTCTCAGTCTCCCCTTCTCCAGGCTGAAGTGCAAACCTTTTGGAAAGGAATTTGGCACTGGAGAGGTTCCCCCCCATCAGCTGTAAAGGGCTGAGTTTGTCCTGCAGCCTCCCTGACACAGGAGGGTGGTCCCACCAACCACCAATCCCACCCAGTTTTTGCACAGGGCTGAGGGCAATCCCTCAGGTCTCCTTCCCTCAAATGGTGTTGGATGAAGGCATGTCCAACAGGACAGATCAGCCCCCACAAAACCTGACTGAGAAAACATGGACATGTTCACCCCCCAGGGAAGCCTCTGGCTCCTGATCAACCCTGTGCTGGATGGGGATCATGTCGGGAATCACATCCTGCTGGACTCAGCACAGGCCTCTGGGCAGCTGCAGGGACAGTGCTGGGATGGACATGCAAGTCTGGGTGGCAGCACTTCCAAACCCAGTGGGGAGGCCCCTGTGAATGAACACAGCCTTGCCCATGGCTTCGTAAAATAGAGCTTTTATTTGTTCATACAAATAGCATGAATTATCAGAGTTTCATTTTCCTAGAAATGTCTTTCTCTGTGCAAAATTAATTTGTGTTGTACATACCACAAAATACTCCATTTACATATTTTTTCAGATTTTCTTTTTTGTGGGTTTGTTTGTTTGTTTTTCTTTCCATTCTGTTCTTTTTCTTACAAATTGGTTACTACTCTCTAGAGCCATGTTACAGACAACACATCACTACTACCTGTACTGCACTTCTGAACGCAGGACTGAATGAAACTCAGCCATAAATTAATGTTACAACGTGGAAAAAAAAAAAAAAAAAAGAAAAACAACCAAACTTTTAATCACACCTCCAAGCTTAAATTAAAACAAAAAAGGTATTTTTTAAAAAATGATGACAATAGCACTGATTCCAGTATCAGCAACCAGTTGTACACCACGGGGAATTCACCTTCACTGTTGTATTTGTTAGGTAAGGCTTTTTTGCATTAAAAGTCCAGTGCAGACTTCATTATGAAGGATGTTGAGTCAGAGCTAACAACTTGCTTAAGGTTAGAAGAGTTATTACTCACTCTCTGTATTTCCACTCTCCGTATTTCCACTCTCCAGCAGGATTGTTTCACAAGAGCCTTTTGCAGCAGGGCTCGGTTATACAAACCAAGCCCACGCTCCGCTGTGCAGCTGAGGAAGGCAGTGGGGTGTTAAAAACCTGTTTCCAAGAAAGCAAGAAGGAAGACGTAGGGGATGCAAAACTCTTCTGGCATTGAGGAGCAGGCACGTGCTCCGGAGGGAAGCACATGGGAAGGAAACCACAGCAGGTCCTGGAGCGAAACCGCTCGGGGAAGCGGCACAGCCGCGGCTGGGAGCTCACCCAAAGGCCAGGTGGGGAGGTCCAGCTTCTTTCCACGCATTGCATAAGCTGCTAGTAGGAAGACTGAGGTTTGGAGAACCAAAAATCACTCTTTTTTTTCCACCAGGAAGTGTTTTCTTCTCGCTGCCTGCAGCCCCTTCCCCTCAGGTTTGGGATAAAGCAGACACACCGGAGCATCCGTCACCTGTCCTGGCAGCAGGGAACAGGGCTGGGGACACGGCTGGAGCTGAAGCCAAAGCCCCTGAATGTGCATAGATCCACCCACCACCTGCACTGTGCAGGATGGGGGGCATGTGGGGGCTGCACAGCCCAGCAGGTCCCACATCCCCCCTGTGCCCCCTGAAGTGGGACTGTGTCAGCCCGAAGCGTTGCTTCCTCACTAGAAATGGCTCAGGGCAAAGAGGAGAACTTTTCCTGTTTGTGGGAAGATGTGCTTGGAGGCAAACCCCAAGGAGGGATTTGCATCTGCTCACAGCAGCTTTGCAGGCGGCTCAGGCCCCATGTTCTGCTCAACATCTCCCTTTCCTTGAGGTCACCCCAGTGCACTGACCCCATGTGTGAACCCACACATGTCCCTGGCTGGTGGACTCACACGGACCCCATGGCAGGGGGCTGGAATGGGATGGTCTTGAAGGTCCCTTCCAACCCAAACCATTCTGTGATTCTTTGAAATCCCTTTGGAGATGTGACACTGCTGAGCCAAGCCCAGAGCCCTTTGGTTCAAACAAAGCACTGAAGTGCAGATCCCTGCAGCAGACCCGGAGCTGAGTCTGCTCTTTGCTCCATCTGCCTGAAGCAGGACCAGATCAAGACCCAGAGAGAGCAGCCCAGGCTCTGAGGGAGGTTTTCATCCCCCAGCAGCCACAGCAGAGAGCTGTAAGGGGCAGGCAAGAGCGAGGAGGCTGCAAAAGTAAAAGAAACATCTGGGAAATGCCATTGAATGGATCCCACCACAGCTGGGCACAGCTCAGAAATGAGATGCTCCAAGGGGCAGCTGTGGGTGACTGGGGAGAGGTGCAGGGCTCACTTTTATATAGAAAACATATATAAAATCAGATGTTGTACTGATCGCTGCTGTTGCTGTTTCCAGTTTCCCTCACACTGCTTTATGAAGTGCTGGAGTTACATCAGCAGACACTCAGTGAAGTGCATCATCTCAGTGTTGCAGGTGAGGCACGCAGGGTTTTGCTGCCCAAAGCCATCATAGCCCTCCTTCTGTTAAAAATGCAAGGAGCAAATCACTTCAGCTGCCACCCTGCTCTGAAAAGGTTCCAGCTGAGCTTGCAGAGCCTCTGACAGCAGTGCTAAGGCATCAGACACACACAGTCCTTATTGGGACCTCCTGAGCTCATAAACCTTGGGCCAGAGCTCTCAGGACAGCCCAGCTGACTGCCCTGAGTCCCACAGCATCTATTTCCACCCAAGGGGAAGGATTTCCATTTGCTCAGAGCCTCCTGTCCTGCCTGGCTGCCACCCTTATGCTCAGCCAGGGCACCCCTGGGCTGCTGCAGTGCCCCAACCCACCCCAGTCTCCCCCCTGCTTTCCTACAGAGTCACCCTCATTGCCAAAGCAGCACTTCCTCCTGGCTCTAGGCAAACCCTGCTCCTTGGGAGAGACACGGATTGGGCGTTGGACCAAAAAGTGATGGGAATTAAACTGCTTGATGTTCCCCAGGTTGATGTACTGGCAGCTGCCGTGGTGGCTGTGGGACCGGAGGTAGCGTTGCCTGTGCAGTGTCCTGGGATGTGTTCCGTGCTGGGCATGGTGCCAGGCAGAGACCTGGGGTTTTTCCACGGCTCTGCCAGTGTCTCTGGTGGGTGGAGGCCACTCCACGTGCTGCAGGTGCAGCCGTGTCCCAGCAGTGCCCGGAGCACGTGGGCATCCCCGGAGCGACGCTTCCCGCACGTCGCTCCGACCAGCACCGTGTGTGACACACACAGACACGGGTACTTTGCATTTGTCCTGCAGTGAAGATTTCAAATGCATAGAGGGATCGTGGGAAACAGCCTCCTGGACAAAAGGCAGGAGGGAAAAGTGTACTGAGGAGAGAGCTCTGCTCATGCAACAGGCTCTGCGGCTTCTCCGCTGGGAAAAGAGCCCTGGGTGTGAGCAGGAGCTCCATGGCTTGGGGTTCCCCAGGCTTGCAGCCACTGGGAGCACATGCTGCTGCTCAGCAGAGCTATGTGGGGGGAAAGAATTCCCAGCCTCCCTCCCACCCACCCCAGTGAAACCCCCCTGGGGCTGTGGGACTAACTGGAAAACCGTGGGACAAAGGAGCACAACACTGGAGCAGAGACTGGGACACCGGAGTAGGGAAAGCAAGTGTTTTATAAAGGCCAGATACCCGTAACAAAAATAAACCTGTGCTTTCCCTCCCTCCCCTCCCTTTTTTTGATTTTTTTTTTTTTTTTAAATACAAATTTTGTTTAGGAAAAGTGGTAGCACTGTCTGTTACAAACCAAACCAAAAAGAGGAGGAAACAGAAGGGGGGAGGAAAAAAAAAAAAAACCAACAAAAAAAAAGCCAAAAGAAAAAGGAAAAGAGAGACATATTAGAATTAAACACCGTGGAATGTTAAACAGGTTACGGGCTACCGTTCTAGCCAGTGCGGTTAGGCAGCTTAGTGAATTAATTGCTTAGGAATTAAAAATAAATTATTATAAAATAGATTTCTGTACATTTTACATACATATATATCTCTTTATATAAGCAAACCGTGCTGGGCAAGGAATTACAAGGGGGTCTTTCCCACGCCAGGCTCAGTCCCAGCCAAAGTCCTGCCCCGTCATCTGGTAGAACTTCATGTTGAAGGGCCGGTAGAAGTCCCGCAGCCTCTGCACCACCTCCTGGTCGATGTCGGGGTGGGTCCTGCCTTTGGTCTTCCCCAGGCAGTGGGGTTTGCTGCTGCCTTCCGCCTTCTTCAGGCACGGGAACCCCTTGGTTTTGTTGAAGTAGAAGTGTTTGTCGGTGATGATCCTCTTGAGGCCCAGAAAGTCCTGGACCCTGCCCAGCTCCCCCGCGGGGTCGCTGATCAGCCTCTCCCCGCTGACGAAGAGGATCTGCCCGATGGGGAAGTAGAGGAGCCAGTTCTCCAGGTGCTTGGCGTAGATGCCAATCTGGATGGCGCTCCACGAGGTGTCGATCAGGCCCGTAGTCCTGTTTTTGAAGGTCAGGCTCTCAAAGGTGGGGATGTCGGGCTTCTTGGAGAGCGTCTGGGTGTAGTCCGAGATGGCTCTGGTCACGGGGTCCCGCACCACCACGATGAGCTTCGTGCCCTTGGACATGGAGGAGATGCGGGCTGGGGCCTCCTTGGTGACGAAGTAGCTGGGGGTCTTCTCCATGGTGATCTGCCCCTCCAGCGTCCTGGGCATCAGGTCCCTGCCAGCAAAACACGAGGACGTGGGTCAGAAGGGCAGGGAACAGGGAAAAAACATCCATATGCATTTCTAGGTATGTTCACACATAGGTACACACAACAATGCTTCTGCATAACATGCCTTCACAGGCCATTTGGTTTGTACAGACAAATCCATTTTCCATTGATTTAGGGATTAGGGGGGGATTATTATTAAAGGCCACTGTATTAGAAATCCAGCTGAGTAATCTCCCAGTTATCCATGAGTGGATTAGCTGGGCTACAATGCACCTGGAGTGTGGCTACACGTACCACACCAGCTCCAGAGCGGTCAGGATGAGTCCTGAGCTGCACCAGGTGGCTTTTCTGGCTCATGGCAGCACCACAGAGCCCTCAAGCCCCAACCCAGAGCTCACTTCCCCACAGGAACGAGAGGATGGCTTAGCGGAAAAGCAGGAGCTCGTCAGAGCTCATCCACCTCGCTTTCCCTTGCATCCCAAATGCAAAACTTTTCCAAATTCAGGCAAGAGGGAGCAATCTGTCCCAGGCTTATCAACAGCAGGACCTCACCAACCACAGGGGTCCTCTTACACCCAGCTTCACCCACTGCTTTAATATTCCCTGTTGATGCACAGACTTGTTCCCTCACATGAACTAAAAGGAGAATCAGGAGCTGCTGCTGGTGGCATCTTCAGCACATCCCAGTCAAGCACCCAACAAGGACAGTCCCTCCCAGCACTCCCACAGGCTACAGCAGGTCAGGATACAGGATACAACCATGGAGAACACAACCTCAGCTCATGGGCAGGACGTACCTTCACAAAGTACCTGTGAAACCTAAAGCTTTCAGCAATTCCACCTTCTTCTCTGGTTATTTCTAATTAACCATGTTGGGAAGCACTGGAGAGCTTGCAGAACTGATGGAAGTGGCACAAAGTAGGGAGAGTCATTTTTTCCTATCCTTCACTAGGCAAGCTGAAATATTTCAGACCATTTGCCAATTCATTCCTTTTATAACCCAACGGGACTCATTTGCTCTGGGTTGCAAGACAGTCGAAAAGAAAAGGCAAGAGGGGAGTCAGGCACGAAATTAAAGCTATAAAACTTGATTAAGTTTTCAAAGCATCCACCCAGCACAGAGAAATAACCAGCCAGCGTGTGATCTGCGAGCCCCAAGCTGAGCTTCCCTCAGCTTTACAACACCTCACAGAGGCTGTTCCCCCACAGCCACCTCCTCCCTCACTGCTTTTATGCTTCCACAGCAAAGATCACCAGGGTTCCTGCAATTAAAAAAGCCACTGGTAGTTTGTGCTAAAGCCAATGGTTGCCCTGATTAAGAGCTCAAGGGAAAAAAGCCTGACCAATCTGTTCTGAGGCCAAAACACAGGGAAACCAGGAATGAGAGGTCTGATTGCATCAAAAATCATCCCATGCCCACGAAAGCTGGTCAGTAGCTGTTTATGCAACTCCTGGTGAGCTCACAACTGTACCTGGTGTTTTGCCTCATCAGCTTCTGGCATTACCTTTGTGCAATGTGTTTACTGGCAAAGGGGCACCCACTGGCTGCACCTCCACCCCGCAGGTGAGCTGTGCCTGGGGGCTGCCCAGAAAGCCCCTTCTTTACATGGTGGGTGATGGTCCCTGTGCCAGATCTCCACAGGACATTGGGGGAAGTGGTGATGGACAAGCTGGGCTGTGGAGGAAGAGGATGCCAGCTTGTGCAAACCTCCAGCCATGCCCAGGGGTTGTGGCAACCCCGAGGGCTGGGATTTCAAGTCCGCACAAGCGGAGTTTCACATGCAGATAAAAATCACGCTGGTCTACCAGACACCTGGGACATGAGAGCTTCTGGAAGTCAGGAGGCAGCATGTGCCAAAAAAACAGTAACCAAAATAAAACTCTGACTAATCCTTTGCCTTTCTGGCCAACTCTGCAACCCCACGATGCCGTCACAGAGCTGGGCCAGTCAATAACGCTCAGAGCAACTCCTAAAGCTGTCGTGGGCTGATGTGGATTTCAACATTCGCTCATTAAGTGGTGTCTCCTTTTATGGCCACATTAAACCCGAGTTCTACATCCTGCGCTGGCCACCAACTGCTTTCCAGCTTGATTTAAGAGGTTGGTTTCAACCCATGAAGTCCTCAATGGTCTGGGACCTGCCTAGAGCAGAGAATGGTTCCCAGGACATCCTCAGGATGGCTGTGTTGCACTGGAGCCCTTTGGCTTCAGGTCAGGTCCATCAGAGCTGGTTGTATGGGGCCCTGCACCTTGGCACAGACTTCTCCTCCAGGACTACTGCAGTCAGTATATATCCATCGACTGGGAATGATGCAAGGCTTATTTTCCCTTCCTTGCACAAGAAAGGCATGGGGTAGGGCTGGGCCGTGAAATGGGAGGAAATTGCTGGGAATGCAGTGCCAAGTCAGTTGATCCAGTTGGGAAACACAGGTTCTTAATTAGCATTTCAACAAACACAGAGGAGAGCACTGTGTAAGTGGAAAAAACGGGGAGAAACTCTTTACTTAAGAGACATCCACTGGCCTGGTGTCAGTCCCTTTGCAGAGCTGTCATCTCCTGAACCCACACCTCAATTGTGGCTGAAAGCACTCAGCTCTGTGCAGGTCTAGACCCACCAGATTGTTATCTGTGGAGAGGATCTGAATCCCTGGTGTTTGCAGAACATCTTGCTGGTGACCCATTGCAGCAGGAGAAGCAGGACAAAGCACATTGGTGCTGCTGCCCTCAGGTTGGCCAGCACAGGCTGAGATGAGCAGAGGTAGGAACGGAGCTTTCAACCCAAGAAGAAGACCTGGAACCACCAAAACCAGCCCTCAGGCCCTTGTTCCTGCACTCCCTTCATTGTACCCACACAGGTGCCAGGCATAGCCCAAAACTAAGATCCTCAAGGTTGTCTCAGACGCTGCCTTATTTGAAAAGTGGCTCCCTGAAAGTGAGACAGCTGCAAGTGAAGCCAAAAACTGTGGCCCACGGATGTGGTTTGAACCTCTGACAGCATCACATCCAGGAAGGCAAAGTTTTATTGCATGGGCATGTCAGCTGTGAGGAGCTTTCCCATGGTTTCCATAAGCTCCCACAGAGGCTCCATCCGTCACGCTGGCAGCCAGAGACAACAGAGCCTCGGGGACAGGAGGAACTGGTACTTTGGCTGCTCTGAACTCACAGCGGTGGAAAAGTCACCAAGAAGTGCTTGTTCTCATTCAAACCACAACTGGAGAACAGCAGCTTGGCCCAGTGCAGCTCCAACCTGCTGGACATGCGTGTTGGTGGAAGGAGGATGAGCTCCCTGCTCCTGGGGCTCCACGGCAGCAAGGGCCACACTAAACCACAGCTGCTGCACAGGGAGGGGAAAGAGGAGCTGTGATGGTCAGAAGCCACAATGCCCTGGCAGGATGCAGCTCCTTGGGCAAAAGGAGTGGGGTTCAGCACAAACCCACGTTCAGCTCAGCGGTGTGTGCACAGCTCAGCCCTGGGGCAGCTTGTGACAGATGGGGAGCCTTCCATTCCCATGGAGCCTTCCACTCCCATGGAGCCTTCCATTCCCATGGAGCCTTCCACTCCCATGGAGCCTTCCATTCCCATGGAGCCTTCCATTCCCATGGAGGCTTCACAGGCACAGTGGAGACCCGGGCAGCTCCTGCCAGCACTCTTTGGTGTGAGGAAAGAATGGCAGAGGTGCAGCCACCACTGCTGTCCTTATGGGAGAGCAAAGGGAGAGGATAAAGGGAGTCAGGCTGTGGGAAACAGGGAGCTCAGCTGAGCCCCAGTCAGGACAGGGCTGGATGAAGACTCTGCAGCGGAAACTCGTAGTGGAAAATAAAGATGGTATGAAAAGCTTGGCAAGCAATCCCTCCTGCCTTGTTATCCTCCTGCCTTCTGGCAACCTGCAGTTCAAAGACCTCTGGAGCCAGCATCTGCATCCAAATCATCTCATTTCATAGTGGCTATGAACTGTCTAATCCTTTCAAACCCATGAATACTCCTGGCCTTGAGAACATCCCACAGCAGAGAGTCCCAGCACCAAAGTGTTGCCTCTACCCGTCATCTGAACTCTCTCACTCCTTCCCTTCCTGGGAAGGGATGAGGCATCTGTTCCTGAGCATGGAAGAGGGAAGTGAGGATGAGGAACAGGCTCCCAGCATCTTTTACTCCCCACCCAGCCCACCCAGCCCAGCCAGCAAAGCACTGGTGGGGCTCAGTGCTGCTGACTCGGGCAGAGCTGCCAGGGGTCCCAGCGAGGGGAGGGAGTTGCTGTGTGAGCACAGCCAGGAATTTTGCACAGCTATGAATTCTGCACAGGCAGAGAGCAGAGCCCCTAACCCTGAGCTATTAACATGTCAAGAGGGACAGAGGAAAAGCTTTTCCTTTAATGAATATCTCCTCGGCAGAGCCTGCACCCTCCGTAGGCGAAGTGATAGGCTTAGTCTAAAGATGGATTGGCCTACTTTACCTATTAACCACTTAGACTAATGTAATAAAGGCTCTCTTCATTCAAACAGCCCTAATCCCCAGCCCCACACAGCTCTGAAGCCTGGAAGAAGAAGGGATGCTCAGACAAACACGGCCAGGCTGCTGCTTGGACAGGCACCGGGCGGGGGATTTTATGGGACAGGTTTTTTAAAGTGCAAACTTCTCCAGTGTGAAAACTGGGCATGGAGCAAGATAAATTTACAAAGTGGGGATGACAGGTGGCCCCACAGTAATCCAATCCTGAAGCCTAATGCCCTTTGTGGCAGCTTTTGTCTGTGCAGAGGGGCTCGGGGCTAATCTGCTGCCACGTCTCAGGGAGGGACGGAGGGGGGGGGCAAGTGGACCCCCACAACCTGTTGCTGGTTATTCACTGCAGGTAGGACAGACCAGAGCAGTGGTGGATTTATCCCTGGGGATGCCTGTTGGTCCCCCCACGCACCTCCTGCCATGGCAAACACCTGCTGGGATAAACCCCTCTGGGGTCTGCTGGAGCCCTGGGGGGCTGCAGAGACTCCCACCCCCGGCCGTCTGCCCA